ACAGGACGGGGGGACGGGACTGTTTACCAGCTCCCTGTACTCCCTTGAGTAGCAAAGGATGGTTTCTTGACCCCCCATTTTGAGCAAGAGCTTTGGTCAAAAGGGGCCAGTACATGGCAACCTGATAGTGGCACTTTCCCAAAAAGGTAGAAACAGAGGTCACACCGGTGCTTCTGTGTTGCCATTTAGACCACCATGTAAATAGTCCATATTTCTCAATATTTGTTCCAGCTTTCTAATCCTCACAACAAAGTCATACATGAAGCCGTCACTTCCCAGAGCATGTTCCATAACCCTTTTTGGGCTCAGTGCTGTTTCCATTTGAGTTAGTCCCGGCCTCCCTTATCTGACTAAAACAGGACTTATTTACTCATTCTCTTACAAATAAAGCTATTGCATTTGTAATTAATGCTACTGTTGCAGTGCAGCATTCCTCTTCAGACAAAACCCAGTGCCAACAGATACTAGACATACAGTATCTAGATCTATTAAAAGGGTGTGAGAGATGTGCTACAAGGTTTATCAATTCCAAAAGCAAAACTGCAAAAAGAGACCCACATTTATTTACATTTTAAAACTGCTTTTGCAGGTTTATGCTATGAAAAATGATGATTTATGATGATTATTTTTTTTTTTGTCCTATAGTGTCAAAAAAACAACAACACACCTCTGTAAAGCAGGCCAGAAATGTATCCCAGACTTTTTAATTAGACAAAGTACACTTGTGGAAATTGTAGTTTTCTACTTGTGACTTTTTTACCTAAACTCAGAATTCATTCCAAAGAACTACCAGCTAATGATCAAGATAAGGGTTTTAGCTGATACATACTATACAGTTGCTGCAACAACTTGAAAGAACTCAATTTCCCTTGCTTCTCCAACTCTCAGTTGCAAACTGAACATGTTACAAATTAGAACTTTCGGAATAAAGTTTATGCAAATCCATAAGTTTTCAAAAAACTCAAGGAGTCAAGAAATCCAAAGAGTAGATAATTGCTAGAGCAACCTTTCTTTTCTGGACATATCATATGAAATAAATACATTATGCACATCACTTTGTCTTTATTTCACTGTATAATAACGCTTTGTTTGTCATAACGAAGAAAACAAAATTATTCTTTTGGGCAGGTTTGACCCCTTCACAGCCTCCCACAAACACCTTCACCTAAAAGTGAGGCTATGAAACAGAATTTTTTGCATAATAAAATTCATTACCCCTTGTACTTAATTCATATAAAAATTCTTTCAGTATATGTCATACCAGTCCTCAATGTCATCCAGCTGAGTACAAGGGCATTCTACTTTGGTTATCTACTGAAACCAACCTTGTCAAGCATTTGTTACATTTGGCTAGATTTTGTTTTTAAACAAAATTCTTAACAGAAGCATTCTAGTGACTGAAATAGTAAGTGCACAGTATCGGCAAAGGTAACAGCTAGGTGACTACCATAAGGCAAATAAAAATCTACATGCAGAATTATTCTGCAATACCAGCAATTAAACATAAAGGTCTAAGACTCAAACCTATCCTTCTCGCTATCACTCCTGTCATGTGCATAAGCTTTTGAGTAATACTACCCATGAACAGCCTTGTAGACAGACATTTTTTGAAATGTGTTATAAATATTAAATGTACTTAGACTATAGCACACTTTCATTACGTTTTCAGGAACATGTTCTAATCTGTAGGTGAAACTTGCAAGAACAGCTGAGATTCACAAGTGTCAGCTCTGCTGGAAGATAAGATTTAGTACATGAGCTAATCAACAGCGTTACAGAAGTTAACAAGCACCTGCACTTTGATTTTAATTTGAATGCTTTCCAAAAAACACACATTTGAAATCTAAGCTTCTACAAAGAAATGTGCTGATAATATATTTGCCAGAAGCCAGCAAGACCTCACGAAGCCAAACATTTGTAGAGGAGACAAAAAGTTGCCTCACCAGTCTGAGTGAAATGCAACCACAGTATATGCTGACAAATCTTACTTGCTTTGATCTAGCTAGAACACTACACCTTTACTGTGGTTACCCTGGTATCAGAAACTTCAGCAAGGTCTAGGAACCAAAGTATGTATACAAAGGTTATCCTGGATTGTACAACCACGGATGAAGCCAAGGATGGTATCTTTAAGGCTACCCTTACTTGTAACAGTCAGCTGAAAGTTAAAGCAAATACTGTGCTGTACTTTGATTAAACCTGCTATGTGCAATGTAGTCAAACCTGAAGCGGTCTGTGAGAATATAACGGGATATGGTCACGGCTGACAGCAGAACTTTGGAAACACTATTTTCAAACAAGACTTAAACCATCACATAGTGCTATGTATTACACACATTCATATGTGAATACAAAAAAGAAATACTCACCCTAACTTCATAAACATTATCTGAATAATCCACTGTCTGGCAGACATAGCTGTACCCTCGAGCTCTTGATGACAAAAACAGCTGAAAATATTAAAGTCATACATGAGGGCAAAGATACTACATAAAACATGTTTGCGACAATTATCAGCAAATTTCTTACATCAAACTTACCTGAACAGAAATATTTCAAATACCCTTATCAGTCCTGAGAATACTATTGAAGAAAGCCAATATTGATTTCTAACAACCTGTTGTTACACAGTATCTATTTTTTCTTGTAAATTAAGAAGAAAGTACTCATCTTTCTCTGACTGTATCTGCCCAGATAATTACAGTCCTGTGCAAATTAATAAGAATTCCAGTGTGACCTTAAACTATTCAAACATGCATATTCCCTCTCACAGCTCTAGTTTCAGAGACAGAAAATACCTAATTGCTTTCACTATGAATGACAGAAACGCTATTCCCGTGATGGATTAGAGAGAACTCTCCCCAGTAGACAGGGATTAGATAATTTGGATCTACTATTCTTAAAACAGTCTACATTCAAAATCAAGAAAAAGATCCCTGAACAGCCAATGCTGAGCATCCATAGAACATATTGATAGAAACTGGATGAAGTTCCCCATTTCATGCCAACAGAAGTGGCCTAAAGCACATGAAGTGCTCCTGTAGGGCCACTCCAAATAAACCATGTTGCAATAACCTGAACAGGAGAAGACAAACTTGATATTTGAACAACTTCCCATTGGAAAGAAGAACACTTGCCTAGAGCTGTACAAGGTTCAAGTAATACTTCTAATCTTGACATTTATGAAATGTTATGATCCAAGATTGTTTAAAGACAGATAATCCCATCCTGTCAAGGATCAAAAAGAAGACAGCAGTGGAGCAGACATAACCTGTAAATTGGGAGCTGTAAAAGTAAAGAAGGTTGATACAAAAAGATGTCCAAAATAAACATGGGTAGGCACCAACTGTTCTTACCGCTAACCTGATTTCCATCTCATTTAGATCAAACTTGAGTTTACTTTGGTATCTCAACTTGCACACAGCACTACGAGTGCAGACAGATGCAGAGACAAGTGTTATCCACATAAAATCAACACACAAACCCTGGTGAAATTCTGGACTTACTTGCTGCACATGTCTGTTAAGTAGGGAAGTGAAAGTACTGTCCACAGAAATTATCCTAAAAAAGAAATTTAACTACCTTGGCATCATCCAAGTCCATTTACAAACTGCTGTAACATCACTACTCTCCCAGTGTGGTCCCTCACAGGCATGGGCACATTTGACAATATCAGAGAAGAGCAGAGAGCAGTTTAGTCCATACTGTTACAGAAACTAACCGATCTCTGCTGCAACCTACTGGGTCATCTGACCAAGGTTCACCTAGCAAAAGGCAGTAAATTGACTTCACCAGACTGCCTCAAAGCAGAATTAGAAATTCAAGACTTCATTGCAAAATAGGGTCTATGCATCTGGGACTTCTGCATGCTAAGCAAAATTTGCTCCTAATTTGAATCAGAATTTGAGTCCAATGTATGGGAATCTTGGACGATACAACCTAGCAGTGCTTTGTGGACTTACCACTTTTATGTAAGTTATCACAAATTAACAATACAGCTTGCCATCAGGATGATTATTTAAACAGCATTTAAAGGCATTTCACATTCAAATTCTGTTCTAGGCAATACCCGGAAACTGTACAGTCATTCACAAAATACAAACTGTGTACTATTTTACTTATAATGACTACTTTACTCATGTGAATTACAGCAGTGGCACACTGCTATTGTAAACCTCACATAGCTTGAAGCAGTTGTTGCCTCCTTAAAGTGACCTTAAACACCTTCCTCCTATCATTTTCCAGGATCAAGAAATGACACTTCCTGTAAATGCTGTGTCCACAGCCTTAACATCCATTGAGTAAACGCCTACCCTCTGAAATAGCAGGAAACTAGAACCTCTGTCTGTATCTCACATTACGAGCTTTCAGCCTATCAGCAGCAAACACATATTTGCAGTCCTATTTGTTTTTATGTGAATTCAGTGATTTGGAAATGCCACACAAACATGTGTTACCCTATAAGCAACACAGGTTTGAAAACTAATTGACCACAAGTCTAGTATAATTCAGCTTACAGGTAAACAAACTAATTTAAAAGAATAAGTGAAAGAGACAGTCATGGCAAAAAAAACCTGCAGAATTCATTTCAGAGGAGTTTCAGTTTTAACCTGCCACGATGACTGGATTTCATCCACTCCCACAACCTACGCTTTGGTGTCAGCATTAAATTCTGTTGTACCTGTAGTAGTTTATGACTCAGTTGAACAGTGCAAGGAAACAATTTAGACAAAATGACGATTGAGGTGTGATGGCTAAAATTTTACTGAACTATGTCTTAAAAAAATGGCTGAAATGAGTTAATGATTTGATTACAGAAACTCTCGGGAAGGGTCAATATGCAGATCATCATCAGATACGTCATGCTTTCCTGGCAAAAGTATGGAGCAGACTAGTCAGAGTTCTGCAATGGTGTAATTTTAACTGGTCTGTTTGTTTGCTTACTTCTAGAAACAGATTTTGCAGGTTTATTCTATGAGATCTTCCAGGAAGAAGACTCTCAATCCGCATGAGCAAAGTCACAGCAGCATAAACGACTCCTTAGCATCAGCTATATCCTGGACAGCTATCCTTGAATAATGATTACCAAACTGCTAAGTAATCCCACTTAGCTACTGCTAAAGAGCTGATCCACTGCATCACAGCTAGTCATTTTCTCTGTACTGAAAACCTAACACAGGAGAAATGCAGCAACACTGAAATTTATATAAATTAACACACTCAGAACATTGCAAACCAAATATTAGAAGACTGTATCCTTTCATTTTCAAATAAGGATGCAGTTCACTCCATTTTTATTCTTATTCTAAAAGCTAACTTGCAGACAGTACTTTTTCTCACTACAGACAATAGACACCTGAATTTCTAAAAATGATAAACACACTGAAGGCACCAATAAACAGGTCAATTTCTAACAAGTTACATTCTGACATCCTTTAGGATTATTGAAAAAACAAAAATCAGTTACAAGTGTTAAATCTCTATGGACTTTAGTTAATCTGTCCACTATATACAATAACATAAATCTAAGAAGAACTTGGAATGCTAGTACACAAATTCTCTCTCTATATAGACTCATTTAGTGCATTTATTCTCAAACAGAACATAACTAGCTACAGAAACACTCACATCAGAGGCAAACACAGCTTTCAAAGTCCGGGCAAAGCATTCACCCTCAACGGACATTACGAATAGGTAAGATTATTTTCATTGTGCAATCTGTAGACACCATCAGACTTAAATACGAATTCCCTCCTGCGAGAAGGCATACACACCTCTTTGAAAATGAAGAAGTTGAGTAGAACCATCCCAAAGTTGTAAACAACCAACAGGAAACGTAACTGGAAGGGCTCTCTGGTCTTCATCCATTTGGGGCCCAGCCAGACAGTGAGGAGATAAATAGTGCTTATAGTCAGTGTTGGAAATGGAGACTGCATCAAGGGCCAATCATCAACACGTTTGTCTGGGGAGGGTGAAGCAAACAGAAGCAGTCAACAAGGTCTGAACAACAGATAATTCAGCATCATTTTAAGCATTGCATACGTTAAGTATTATTCTCTCCTGGAATAGCTGCATAAAACAGTAGAAACACCACACACTCATTCTTTCTAGGAAGGTTAAAGAAAACTGTTCTAAAAAAACCCCACTATATCACATTAACTCCCACAGTGATTCATTATGTCATGCAAGTTTTATTGCCCAGTTCTACAATCCAAAACAGTAAGGCAAACAGAATCACAAGCGCCCAAACCCAACCCACCAATCCATCAAAAACCAATGATGCTTATGATGAACAGTTACTGCAACAGCAACATAACCAAATATTCAACACCACTGCAAATGAAAGATACACAAATTTAGCGAAATACTGATAGAATTAATAGCTTTTATTAGTTTAAAATTAAGCACTAAAAAGCTTGTATGATGCCAACCAAGCACCTTTGCTATTTGATATACATCAGTCTCATATGTTTCAGACAGAATACTAACAACGTTACTGGAAAACAGCTAAATAAAAGAGTTTAAAGGAATGGTTCCAGTTAGAGTAACCTGTGCTGCCACATGAGAGACAAAGGTTTTATTACAGTCTCCTTCAGTCACTCACGGGATCTGGAGTTATACTCTAGGGCCCAAAATATCCTATATTAAGTTCTGGATCTGTGTCAAAAAAGCACTCTTAGCCAGTGACACCTAGGATTAGAAGATGGCTCTGCAACAGAGGAGGGAAGGGAGAGACTACAGTGACACCTCCTTACGAAGTGTTTCCTTCCTCCCCCATATGAAGGCTAATGTCTAGTTATAGCAAGAGATAAAAGATAACTATCCCATAATTATCAATACTTCAGATACTGCACAGCTCTATGATACTAACTGGATTACTTTCCAGATGCCAGCTGGAGTTCAGATGGGAATCAAACCACAGGGCTCCTTGGGAAGCTCAGACATCTAACACACCTGTCTTCAGTCATTTCTGGGCAAACTCACAAACAGCAATGCAGTTGCCCACAGACTTGCCTAGAGGACAAGCTCTTTCAGAGAACTGCTTTTCTCCATGGTAAACCAAAGACAGTGAAAAAACCCCATACCATAAACTAATTCCTGATCCCAGGCATACTAACAGGTAAGTTAGAAAACCCTTCTTATTTACCAAATAAGGAACTCCGATGCAATGAGGGAAGTACAGAACATCACTGCCATTATGCCTCCTCCACTTTTTTCTCTCATTTCCTTGGTTGCCCTTAAGATCATAAATTAGAACCCCACTTTAGAAGCAGGTTTTGCGAGACCCTCTAATGAACAACACATATTGTGATCTACAGAAAGACAGTGTACATGGCACTGACTATTGCTGCTTTCAGTATATTTAACGATACTTGATCTGCCTGTGCAAGCAAGATGCTAGGAGGCCTAAAAAGAAGTGGAAGAAAAGAAAGAGAAACCAGCCTAGCTGCTTCCTTTATGGCTGATAATACTAGAACAGAGAAGTCATCCTAAAGCATGGAAACCTCCAGCAAGGTTAATGCTGCCAGAATGATGGGAGTCAGCCTTGAGACCACAGCCACCAGCAGAAGCCAAGGGCAAGACAGGGTAAGGAGTACAGGGAGGACTGGTGAAAAAATCGGATAGACTGGTTGTAGAAACACAGGCAGCAAACAAAACTGAAGAAAGTGAGAGCAGACAGTTAGTTACCTCTTACTTTTCAGCAAGTCCCTGGAATAGACATTTCTATTACAATATAATGCACTCTCTGCAAAACATAAGAACAATTGCTTTATAGTACAGTGTAGTGTGTGGGATGTAAAGGAACAGCCCCATTTTCCAGACCTCACCAAATGCCACCTATTGAAGCTGAAATCACACTCCCTTACACTTTAGTTCCTGCTTGCTTTTAGCAATTGCTCTACCGAACTGGATTTAAAAATAAGAGATAAAACCGCTTAAAAGTCAAGAGAAATGGAGAACCTCAGCATCCACCAGATATGAAGTAATGGGCAAAGACTCATCTCCACCAAGCAAGAAGAAAGTTGTCACTTCTTCATTAAGAGACAGCTCTGGGAGTAGCCAATGTGTGAGATGCTTTAATCAAATCCACATCTCACTTCAGACACTGCAGTGTGCAAAGAGTTAAGAGCCGGTGAGGCAAGAGACTCGGTTGCTTTCTCAGCCTTCTCGCACTAAGCGATATAAAGAGGCAAGCACATATTTGAGAATTTGCCTTCTATTTTCTAACCCAGTGTTTCATGGTATCTTGAACACTAAAGTGACAAAGAAAAACATGAAAAGATCTGAATTTTACCCAGGAGATGAATGTTACCACCACTGCTTGAAACAGGAAACGATGACGTATTCCAGATTTCTTTTTGTGGCAGGAGACAAAGATTTCTAGAGGGAAGGATGAGGATTCACTAGAGGGTGAAAGGAAGGACAAAGGGACAACTTTTACGAAAGCCCAGCTGCAAGTGGGCTTTGGCTCCCGCTTCATCAGTGCCGTAAACAATTCTTTCACCTTCTTTCCACAAATACTAGAAATTGAAGAACTTCAGTGGAGAAAACCAATACATATATTTAACTCTGACAACAACATACGGGCACCTGGGCAGCTGCCATTACACTTCCATACCTGTATCATGGTTTCAGCCTGTTACTTTGCCTCTGCACAGGGTTTTTGGACAGTGAGCCACCACATCTCAGAGACAAGTCTTAAAATATTGGCAAGAAAAGCATAGCTTACCGATACAGACCACACAACACACTGTCTAGGGAATCTATTTGACTGGGATTTTGGGGGCTGGGTCTGACCTCTCCTAGGACAATTAATGACACTTTGAACACAAAATTCCTGTATGAGAGGGAATACAGTAGGGGATTCAGTTCTTGAGCACATCCTGGCCAAACCAGAAGTGTATCAATAGCCAAAAAGTTTATTCCAATTCCTACTGTGCTAACTAAGAATACCACCTTGTCTTTGTTTTAAGCGCATTTAGGAGACTCTACATAGGATTATTTTTTACTATTACTGTGGCACCAGAAAACGTGCTACTATTCATCCCAGAACTTGCCAGATTTAGAAAACTTGCTCATCACAAGATCTCGCACAGATAATGCAAAGTAACTTGTTCAGTATTAAATCAGCTCCACACACCATTCTTGTTGCACAGAAGACATCACAAAACCAATTACATTTCAGTTTACCAGGAAAGCTTGCTTGTCCGTGTTCTATACGGAAAACACAGTTACATGCAGACCCTTGTTCCACACTTCTTTTCAGATACCCTCTTTCAAACCAAGATAAATTCATTCTTCTAAGTCATCTTCTTAAGTGACAAACCTCCCAAGCTACTCCAACATCCTCCTCCCCCCCCCCCCCCCCCCCCCTACTTACTAGCTGGTGCTGATGACCACAAATGATTTCTGCAAAATACAGAGAATTGTGATAGCTTAAGGGGACATATGACTGTATTAAATCCTGCAGTACCTCACACGCAATAGGTACATTATTACCTGAAAGATGAAATGAGCTTGAAATAAAACAGCCAGCTCCCTGAATTAAAAAATCCCTCCAACTGCTTTGAAGCAAACTGACCAATGCCTTTACCTGATTAAAATTGACAGAGACTCACTGAATCTTTCAGGGGATTAATGCGTTTGTCTTTCAAATCCTAAGACCTAGATTCTAATTTGATCACAAATAAAATGTCTGTTGTGATGACACAGGCTGTAGTACAGTGGTTTTTTTTTGTTAGGTGGGAGAAGTTTTAGAAAAAATATTTAAAAGTTGCACTCAATCGTAAGGATGAATCCAGAGTAGAATACGGTACCTGCTAACATGTTCCTGATATAAATATTTCATGTTCTTTCCTTATATAACAGTAATTTTCTATACACACGGTTTTCCTGTCATTTTGTGTATATACATTTTAAAGTATCACACTGCAAAGACAAGAAACAGAAGAATATATTTTCATATATATACCTAAATAAATTAAATTGCCCTCAGACATCTACCTCTGCAGGATTTAATTCTTTACGTGGGGCAATTCACAGGAAATACACACATGAAACCATCTGATTTCTTTCTCCAAAGTAAGAACAAGAGCACAACCAGTGAAAAGGACTGACTATCCTACCTGGTAATGTCTAAAGTGGACATAATTAACCTCTACTGAAATATGGCAGGCAAATGGAGATGAGTTTCAATAAGTAAGGCTGCACTGATGGCGATCTAGAGTTAAAAGTCACAGGAAACTTCTGTGAAGCATACTATAAGTGTTTTAATATGCAAATACTTCTGTTAAATGTGGTTCAGCATTTCCTTTCCAATAGATTTTAGATGGTTAAATTTCCTGCATGTTACTTGTATTTTTCTTTCCTGAGGAAGTACAAACTTTAAAAATAAGCAAACAAATGCATAGCATAGTCTCTCCTACATTCATCAGGAGAAATCCTGAAGCAGTACAAAGGTGACTATCTCTGCTTTTAGTATTAGTTTTAGAGAAAACATTACATAACTAAAATACATGACTTTTGAAACCCCCTGCATTCATATGAGATTCAAATTCGAAACTTAGTAAGTCTTTATTTTTATTTTAATAACTTATGTATTCCTTAGGTATAAGGTCGCTACTCACTAATTTATCTGGAGAGCCTCTCACAGTTATTAATAGCTATTGATACTATTCTCAGCGCAAAGACACTTACAGTGCCAATCCAGCACATCCATCTGTCCAATTACATTTCTAAAGACACTGCAGAAATAATGGTGACTGTTTAAAAGTGGTTCATAACAGTGAGAGCTCTCTGCAGATCATGCTGTTGATTTTAACAAGAAGTCATCTCAAAGCCCAATCTCAAGTTTAAGAAAGACTTCCTTGGATGAATGAAATTTTAATTCTACAGTATAAGGAAGGCAAACCAGTATTATCTAATTGGAGTATTGTTCTATGAACTACACTTTTTAATTAT